CAAATGAAAGCTTATTGGCAAAGGAAATTCAACAATTTATATTCTACGTTTATTTTATGCATCCTCATCTTAACAAACTTATCGTTCTGAAAAGTAAATAATTTACATTGAAAATTGGAATTGAGTCGTGAAATGCTAGCGCTATTTTCAACATTTAATAACTATACGAGTATAAGCTGCCAGCACAAGGCACGAAAGACTAACTGTGCAATTGTAACTTGCATATTATAATTACTATTTTTACAGGTACTGTTATTAAGTTTCTTAAATTTAAGAGAAATGTCTTAGGTATTTTCGTTATGCCGCACGCTTACAAACTAGACTAGGTCACCAAGCAACTATTAACAGATGTGTGATACATGGCGACACCGCGTTGTTCGCAATTCTTTTGCCCCAGATTAGCCCTGTGTTTCCTCTATTAGCAATGTATACGCAGCCAAAGGAGAAATTCGATTTTTTTACAATCCGTGTTGTCAGGTCTTACGCCTTTTGTCGGATATTTCACTGGTGCAGATAAAATTTGGTATTAAACTGTCTGATATAGAATTAAAAAAAAAATAATATTATTTTATGACACTTCATTCAAAATGATAAATCTTCTGGCTACGTCATCACATGTACGGAATGTATGACGATACGTAAAACAGGTACTTATTCAGCCAAATCTACCCGAAATAAACCAAAGCCTGTGTTTGTATTTTGTGCCCGTATCCCTATCCAATGTAAAGATTATGCAGTTCTATCGAAAGTTTTAGTATAAAGTCAGCTAATGAAGTTTTAAATACAAATGTATTTTTAAATTCATTAATCTAACGCTATATAAAATTTGCCGCATTTATGTTTAAGGGACTATCTACCTCTAAAAAGAAACAACCGATATCGTATAACAGAACTGGTAACTCTGTTCAAAATTCGTCAAGTAGTGGATTTATTGCATCTAGGCCAAGTCCGGTGCAACCAATGCAAACCGACGGCGACGCGTCGCCGACTAAAGAAAGGTGAGATTGACACATCGACGCCGCGTCTACCGAATTGGACCCTGTTGTTGCAACATACGAGAAAAGAATGCTTGTGGGTTCTATAAGTTATTTATTATCACTCCTGTACAACTAGTAAGCGCAATAACACGAAACAGTTCACGTATATTGTACATTATCTAATACGACACAGCCGATATAACTCAACAAACCGACAGAGTCAATTGAAATGGCAATGAGCCTGTCATACAGCTTGTCGAACCGACAATCGATGAAGAAGAAAGAAAAGGTTCTAGAGAGGCAGCCATGTATCGGTTAGCGAAGTGTAGGAATTTGATGGATGCAGGATGGATGGTGGCTCTGGAACATGCTTTATAACATTACTTGGAGGAGGCGGCTTTCAGCAATGGATTTGTGTTTTTGAGTTAATGATGATGATGATGTATGTATTACACATTTACGAATACGAAATATACAAATTTTATAGCAATGACACTGCAGAATATCTATGCATTGCGTTGTTTATGTATCACTTGCAGTTGTAGGTTTTACTTTTTCGAATACAAGGAAGCCAATCGATTTTACTAACAACATATTGCCGGCCAATTGTTGAGCATTATCTAATAATGGAAATAAAAATAAATGTCTGTTAAAACCAAAGTTGCACGCGTTGGCACGGCCGCAGGTCCAATGAACGGTGACAGGTGCGCTACGGTGCGATAAATTGAAACGCGAAATCGCATTACCCGCAATCATAGAATTATCCCGCAATAGTACCTAATTGCAAAATTATAAAATAATTTCTTTTTGTTGTAGTTTGCGTTTGAAATAATAATATAAATAAGTTATTTTTACCAAATTGATCCAGTAAAAAACATTATAGCAGAATAATTGCTGTTATAATAAAAATAGAGGAGTCACGAACACGTCTGTGTTTTGCTTGCTTTTTTCTACAAGCAAGTATCCATCAATAGTTGATGGATCATCATCATCATTACAGCCCTTCACAAGTCCACTGCTGAACATAGGCCTCCCCCAAAGAATGCCACAAAGCACGGTCCTGAGCCACCTGCATCCATCGACTTCCTGCATATCTTACCAGGTCGTCACTCCATCTAGTGGGGGGACGCCCTACACTTCGCCTGCCGGTACGAGGCTGCCACTCGAGAACCTTTCTTCCCCATCGGTTGTCGGTTCTTCGAGCTATATGGCCGGCCCATTGCCACTTCAGCTTACTAATCCGTTGGGCTATGTCGGTCACTCTAGTTCTACTGCGGATATCCTCATAGTTGATGGATACTTGATAGTATTTTCTAAAATAGTATACTATGCAGACATGCATTATAATTCTACAAAAATAAATACGCACTCCAGATTTCTAGAATGTCTCCATTACTCACAACGTAAGCCATTCATTAGTCGGAGTGCATGCATTCTTTCACATCATACAAACGTTCTTCCTGTCACAGAGTAACGATTTTCTCTAACGTTCGGATCTGTTTCCATAATGAAATAGGCAGATAGTTTTTAATTATATAAAACGGTTAAAAGCTAACAATCCATAGAATAAATATGTAAAATTAAAACTCTATACAATGTACATACACCCATTGATGTGAAATCTGCAATTATTGTAGTTTATTTTAATATAATTTAATTATAGTCATTTTTTTAGAAATCAAAGTCCTTTTTTTATTTCTATTCCACGGATTGTTGCTCTAACCGCGGGGGAGCCTTGGTAACCTGTAATACAGGTTTTTTATACTTGCATGGGACACTAATCCGTCACAAGTTAGGTACCAGTCTAACACTTTTCTAATACATAGCTATTGTGAAGAGAGTATAAATGGATTAATTCATTCATTCAATGTAAAATTTTAGGTAAGCATCTGCAACCAAATTGTGTTGAAACTAAAATTATGTACATTTTTAAATATTATAGGATTTATAAACACCGATTCTTGATCTTATTTGACTGAACTAATAGCGGTTAGCCAATGGGAGGCTAAAAATAAACGCCAAAGTCACTCATTACCTAACGCCACAACCAGTCAAAACGGTAAATTGGCAAGCATTATATGTATGCAGGAAACGAACCGTATCGAATGTTTTGTATTAAAAATACTACTTTAGTTAACATAGATTTTTTAATGTATTTTGTCATTTGAGATTTAAAGTAACGATGGTACGACTTTCCATTAACTCCCATCGAGTTTTTTACGTATTTTTACAGAAAAGTTACACTATTATAAACAAAGTTACAATATGCGGAAGCGCGTAATTTTTGAGAAAAAAGTTATTGAAAATCAATTATTCTTGCATTGTTTATGTCTAATCTTACAATAAAACTGACGCCATTTTTTATTGTTATTGTCAGTAGGGATGTCGGGATAAGCAATGCAAGAATAATTGATTTTCAATAACTTTTCTCTCAAAAATTACGCGTTTCCGCATGTTGGAACTTTGTGTGTGTGCTTATAATAGTGTAACTTTTCTGTAAAAATCCGTATCAACCCCCAACTCGACGGGAGTCAATGGAAAGCTAGGCCCATAGGCCTCCCCCATAGATTGCCTCATAGGAGGGATATTTGAAATAGTTGCCACGCTTGGCAAGCGCCTTGGCAACCGCAGTTTTTTTATTTTTAGGCGTTATTGGGAAGACGCAGCTGCCCTTCTCCTGATTTGTTTCCCTCTTACGTCTCTTCGACACCCACGGTATGATATGGGATAGTGGATATCCTTGCACCGCCACTACACGCGGTACACGGTTTTTTAACACAACAAATAGCAATGACAAACAAATGAGAAATAGCAATTAAACTGAAAGAAATAATATTGGATCAAACGATTCACGTTGTAAGTTTACGATATAAATCATTGATGTCAATGCACCATTCATCCTCAGCATTCAACAAGTACCGTAAGTAATTTGCTGCATTGGATAAGTAAGACCGATTGACCCACATTGGAGGAGACTCGTTTTGGTTTGTTGGAAAAGTAGCTGGTGAAGTAGTAGTAGGTTGTAAACTGGCCCCGGCACACTTCTTTTATTTACACCGTTCTCAAAGACCTAATTAAGTAGAAGTACTAGGATAGTAGATTAATGATATGAAACAGAGGAAACAAGGAAACCAACATAACCGGTCGTTAACGGAACTAGCGCATTTAAAGCAATAAACCAATCCGACGCGTATGCGTTATCAAAGGCTATAACTTTTGTTTGAAAATCGTTTAAGCGTTCAACAAAAAACAATTATGAAAATATGTCTTAGTCACGAAAGCAGCATTTTATTACAAAACATAAAATTTTATTTTTTACAATTTGTACAAAAGTTTAGGCATATTCTCTCTAACATATTTTACAACGAAACAAATGATATCATTATTATAACAAAATCGTGTTAACACTATTCATATGCATATTTTGCTCAGCTAGGGAAATATTCAATGTGTATTTTAAAGCTATCTAAAACGTGACATTTCCTATCCCATAGACAGAAAATGCAACAACAAATACTGATGACTCACTATAGTTATCGACCATGGATGTGATTGGTCATGGTGATATCAGTCATGAATAGAAGAGATATGGACTCGAAATTCTATTAAAGATACTTAAATACAACAAAATATGATTTTGAGATTTTGAAGACAAAACTAGATTTGTTTATACCTAATTAAGCCACGACGTTAAAAAAAGGTTTAATTTGGCGTAGTTACCTACAATAAAACGCTTAGCGTTCAGTTACTTTATTCCAATAGGGTTAGCAAGAGATATAACTAGTGAAAAAGAACATATTTTATAGTCAGATAATTTTTAATAGGTCAACTAAATGTGTTTTAAATAGAGAAATATACATAGATTTAATACATTTAGACAATAATATTAATACATTTTAACTAAACCAATATTATTTATTGTGTGACTAAACGTACATGAAATGACACTAGGTAAAATTTAGCTTAAACATTTATCCTTAAATTAAAACTTAGTAAATAATACGTAAATAATAAAGTTATTACCTGAGTAAACTGAGACGAGATTTTAGTATGGTCTTCTTGGTAGACTTTGCGGGTCTTACGCCGCTCTGTCATTAAAGTAATCAGACGGTCGAGAGCCCGGGACTCAAGAGCCTCGGCATTGGCTCTGATCAACCGACTGGTATTTTCCCATTCTTCGGTCATGGTGCGCCAGGCCGAAGCAATTAGTGAGCCTGCAACAAAATGGTTTTCAATATTTAATAATCATTATTGACAAATTTGTTATCAGTGGAATGAATATTTCATTCCAACGTCCAAAAAAATTCCAATTCCAAATCCTTACAAAAAAGAAAGGGGGCTTATGCCCATGCTCAGGCACAAGCCACCTTTCTTTTTTATAAGGATTTTGAAGCAATTAGTCCTCTGCACAGACTTCATATCCAATATCCAGGTATATAATATCCTAAGTAGGTAAGGTCGTTGCGCTGCTCTAGTGCGTGTTGTCGCACTTCACATTCACAACATATCCTCGAAATATTATACTATTCCTCAGACATACATGTTTCCTCACAATGTTTTTCTTCACACCTAAAAACGTAGTTAAGTCAGCACAATTTTATCGGTGCCGACCGGCTAACGGATAACACAGGCGGAATCGAACCCGGGTTGCTCCTGTAGGTACTGTGAAATATCGTGTAGCCTCAAGTCTACTGTAAAACGCAAAATTTCGGAATAATATTTTCGATTCCTTTTTTGTCTAATTATTTTATTTTAAAGTATCTAAGAATAATTATAAAATAAAAACGAAAATAATAATATATTATTTTAAATAATCTTAAGGTTTAAAACCTCATTTTACTGACGTCTCTAAAGTTTTCTTTGTTCCCAAGAAAGTCTTTGTTCTATTTCATCCTGCGCATTTAAAAATTAACCGTTATGAGGGTATATTACTCTTATCGGGTAACAAAGCAATAAATACCTACCAAATATCTTTCTGGACAATGATTTTTAAATAATTTTCGTGTCTAATGATTTTTTTTATTCTCACCGTTGAGATCCTCGCATTTATCCATCTTCTGACCTTGGGCAGCAGCGGCAGAAAGAGCGAGAGCGTATTCCCGGTCACTCTTCATCTTAGCCTGAAGACTCCTTTTCATGGTTTCCATTAGTCGCAGCTCAGCATCTTGTCTCGCCAGCAGCGCTTCATGCGCTGCTCGCCCAGCCCCGCTCGATGCATAACCCATTATCAAATTACAAACCACTTTACACTCAACCCACACACATCACAACGTAAACACAACTCGATTCACATAACTCCCCGTTATCACTGCACAGGATTTTAAGTCACTTCGCAGCAAAAAAATATCAATTTATTGCCAGCTAAAATCTAAAACGGAACTCTACTTCTAAGTTGTAATATGAGAACATGTAGCTTTTTACGAATCAGTTTAGCGCCGAATCGGTAGGCGATATGGCTAAATAAAAACTCGACGCAACAAAAAAAAAAACAATTTCGATATTCAATGTTTATAAGTGCGAACTACGTCCGTGCGACTATACGTCCACTCGGTAGACGCGCGCGACGTAAATGCCATCTGCCGTAAAGCGCAAACCAGCAAGATCGTTTTCGTTTGAGATTTGATTTGAGGTAAGTGTGTGTGTGTGTGTGTGTGTGCTTTATTCCAGTTACCCGACGACTCTCGGTGAGTCGCAGATTTGAACAATCGAGGAACTTCAGAATATAGAACAAGTTTCATAATAAGTTTTTTTTTTCGCCGGCCAACAAACATTGTTAGGACAACAACGGATGGGACGCAGCGTGTTCGCAGACGGGCGCGCTGCACACCCCTCCACACCGCGTAAATACCGTACAGCCGTACACCAGGTCACCAGGGACGCATACGAGCAGATTCGGGGCCCGTCACCTCCCTGTTCGTGGATGAGTTATCTAACGGCCATCCGAACTGGTACTGACCATGCACTGTTAGCTGTCCTAGGAGTCATCGTTACGTAAGTAACGATGCAGAATAGTAAAATATTCACCCCTTTTCTAGTTCGCGGCCTTTCAGGCCGATTAAGCTGTAAAAGCCAAAAGGCTAACAGCACAAACATCATCAGAAACCCGCTAAGTTTTTTTTAGAAACCGCATTATATAGTTTTTTAGTTTTATTACGTTAAGGAAATCGCATCGGCGCTAAACCGGTACCTGGTTGATTTTTACATTTAGACATTAAATGTTTATTAAGGAACTTATTATATTATGAACTAATGAATAAAGTAAATATAATTAGAATGAAGTATATTATGCATATTTATTTTTTAATTATTTATTAAACCATAAAATTTCTGTAATTAAAATTTAAATTATTATAATGAATCATAGTTTACTGCGTTTTTCTCGCCATTAAAATAATATGCAGTGTCTGACGAAATATTAATGACATATTATTTCAGACTATAATTATGGGTTGTACGAATATCCACTATCCTACTGGCTGGTCTATGTTCAGCAGTGGCCTTTTAATTAACTTGACTGTTATAATATTAACTTTACCATTTACTGATTGTCACAACCTGGCCAGTTTGGCTGTAACGTTATCAGTTGCTTTTGTTTAACTACAGATATTCTGAAATCTCAACGGTGTAGTGGCGGCGGAAGAATATCCACTATCCGTATATGCCCCACGGGACGATATGGGGTAGTTACTTAGAATCAATAAATAACTGGTTTAGTTATTGTTCTCAGGTTAAACCTGAGGTTATTGTACTGAGAGTTAAACGAACGTATATAATCACTATATCGCAAAAACTGTATACTCAAATCTAATATACGACGAGATATTATAACAATATATTTTACTGTTACTAAATCTAATCCTACAAGGTGGGTACATCTTGAATTCATAAATCTGTCTTCATTAACTATTTCTAGAATGTAAAACATGATAAGCATGAAAGAACATATAATACGTATATTTAGCACTTGCCTGTTTCAATGTATCATAATACTAGTTTTTTACCCGCGGCTTCGCTCGCGCGAGTAACATCATTAAATGCTGTTCCGTGCCAAATTTAGCAAAATTCTATCACTTTTTAGAGTTTGTCTGTCAAATATGTTTTTTGAATTCTAAAAGACCGTGGATGATTGGTATTAGGAATTTTAAATATGATATGCTATAGGAACACGTGAATATATATGTGTAGAAACACGTACAATTTTTTTTATAACGGGCGTGTGATGTATCCATAAAAAAGGTAAATTTTCTTGGAATCAAAATCTTTACATTTATTCATAATTAAAGTTAATTTAGTTTTAACAAAATAATGATGAATTTCATGGTCTTCTAGACTAAAGTTCCATAAAAATCCGAGTAAAAGAACATACTCGTATCGTTGATGAGAAGCACTGACGCTCCGGGAAGTCTAAAGTATGTCAACATGTTTAGTATCGTCCCAACCATTATACCGGATCTGATAGACCAATTCCTACCAATGATGATTCGCTAGGCTATTGAAATTAAAAAAAACATCCTAATTTTAATAGGAAAGATGGCCGAGTGCTTCCATCTGCTAAGGACTCTATAATTAATAAAATTAAATTCAAACCCAAGATTACTACTGCATTTATTCTATTCTATTTTAACTATGACATCAGATCGTCAAGCACCTCAGTTTTCCCGTGACCATGGGTTCTGTAAAATGCCCAAAACATCGGAAATTAAAATAGTTAAAACTGAACGCGATAAAATCCTTAATTAATAGAATCAGGCGTTACTTTGCGGAAATTCATTATATAAAAGCTTTTAGAAAATTTTACTTCGCAAATATCCGCGTTATAAAATAAAATGATGTGTCTTACCTAGTACGAAGAGCACCTCCCGCCCTCCCTCAATTGCGTGCACTAAAATAATAATGACGCAGTCGCTCGCTCCGTAAGTAGAGAGCGGTTGCGTCATCGGGCTGTATAAAAGGCACTTGTTTTGGCTCGCCGCTCACTTAGCGGTTAGCCACCGTAGAGTCGATATCACCTGAGGATGCCTCGTGTAGAGGCGAAACACGTGTCGTCTTATCGTCAGTGGTGTGTCTTGCCTAGTGTAGTGGTGTTGGGAGTAGCGGTGCTGGGATTAGTGGTGACGGGGATAGTGCACGTAATTGAGGGAGGGCGGGAGGTGCTCTTCGTACTAGGTAAGACACATCATTTTATTTTATAACGCGGATATTTGCGAAGTAAAAAAATTTTCTAAAAGCTTTTATAAAATCCTTAAAATTAGTTTTATTCCTTATACATTTTATTCACAGTGAACGTGGGATGCACTACATTCATTTATTTTTCATTTTCTCATGAACGGGAGTAGAAAACTGTTTTCCTTTGTTGTGACTGTGATACAAAATCTGCCACCTCATATCGTCCCTTCGTAAGAGGGACGATTTTAGGAGAGAAAGAGAAGAGGAATACAAACAGGCGATGGGCAGCATCATCTTCCTGACAACAGATCAAAATAATAATAGCTGCGGTTGCCAACCCGCCTGCCAAGCATGGCAACTATAACAAATAACCAGCTACTTAACAATTTATGGGGGAAGCTTATGTTCATTTTAGTGGACTTTTGATAGGCTGACGAATGAGTTCTACTCATCTTTGCAACCCTTAATATATACGGTGGAGTGAAAACAAAAAAGTAACATTCCCGAAAATATGAATGAAATAAAAACTGCATATGCACCCCATGAAAAGTAAAAAAGTAACAGCTTACATACATTTAACTACTGTGCACAGGCCGCAGAAAGTTTTTGGCCAAAAAAAAAAACTGTAAACTAAAATGAACCTTTGTTTAAGTAAAATCTGCTTTCTTTCATTAAAGTATTTTTCCGCAAGAGCCTGTTCGTTTACATATACTCATATGAGCTATGAAACCAGGACTGTCACAAATATCTTAATATTTCTGAAAATACGTAACGTATATCTTAAATTACAAACTGATTTATAAGTCTCATTAAAGGTAAAAAAGTAAAGTAGCAGCTAATATACGTCTCTCTATACACAGAGCTGCTCATTACCCATAGTGGTTTGTGGGCAGAAAAATAGAGTATGCTGGAATGTTCCAATGTATATTAACGGTTTTCACATCTCCACGACTATTTTAATTACTCAGACAGTGACAGTTAAGACTCAGTTTCCCCACGAAGTTATTCTTCATTTGTATTTGTTTAAATACAAGTAATATAAACTGAAACTAAGCTTTTGCATGATTGTTGACCACATCTACCTAGTAAATACACATCCAATGATGTCACGAACGAATAAGCATTCTATTATTTAATTTTATCTGTAACTTACCATTTTAGTTTATTTACAAGTAAGTAGATGGCACTACTATTAAATAATAAAAGCCAGAGTATACTATCTAGTAATATCAGCGATAAAGCGAACATTTATTTATTATATCAATAAGGCATAAAGTGATGCAATTCAGTTAAAAGTTCTGTTTCTGTTAAAAAATACGTTTTTTTTTATAGGATAGGGTGACAAACGAGCACACAGTCCATCTAATGGTAAGTGGTTGCTGTGACCCATAGACATCCACATCTATCCTCGTTCGCGAATCAAAATGCAGATGCGTTGTCACCCGTGAGGACTAAGATGGAATGCCTGTTTTCCAGTAAAAAGGGTCTCTGGTTCTCTACACTCACCATACGAAACACAGCAGTGTTAAGCTGCTATTTTACGCTGGTATTCTGTGAGAGCGTGGTCCTTCCCCGGTTGAGCCGACCCATTCGTGCTACAACTATAGAAAGAATATAAACATATCATGAAATAGCGACGTTGTGTTTAGTTATCAATATCTTCAAACAATTTCTATTCATTGATTTGGTCAAGCTATATCATGACATGGTCAACAAACAGTGTTAAATATCATGAAATGACCACACCATTTCACGAAATGATAGACTACTTTATGATATACTAGCTTTTTACCCGCGGCTTCGCTCGCGTGCGCTTGAATTTAGGGACATCATTAAATGCTGTTCCGTGTCAAATTTAGAAATATTCGATCACTTTTAGAGTCACCTTGGTGTCTATGTCTCTATGTCTGTCAGAGATTTTTTTTCATTCTAAAATACTATTAGACGTAGATGATTGGTAACATGCTACAGAAACACGTTAATATACTTATAATATGTCTAGAAACTCCTACTATTTTTATATATGGCGTGTTTTCCGATTCCGATGTATCCATAAGAA